GAGAGAGAAAACTAATTCCAGATTCATGACTTTGGGGCGAATTGCTGTTTCTTTCTGAGCCTGCTTTCTGACCTGTGAAATGGATATATAATCCCTAACAGGGTTATATTGGGGATCACATATACCAAACACAGAGTTACTGTTCTTATTCCTAAATTACAAGTGCTGGAGTCCTGCTATCAGTGTGGTTATCTGACAACCCCAAAGCCACTCCAGCCTGTGGTATAGCCTATATCAGCCCTCTAGTCCTACCTGATCTGAATGTTTCCTTTTTCTTACACTAACAAAACAATCCTCCCTTGATCAAAGAGATGCCACAGGACTTGACTATCTGTATTCCAAGAAGTCTTCCATTCTCTCTCCTTCCCTCAAGAGAGTAACTGCCCCATCCCACCCATCCCATCCACAAGTATGATGTATTAAAGGAGAATTTCCACAAATCAAAGGCAAAACCAAAAATACTCAGAAGGAGAGGTGGGGCTCAAGATAAATGGTATTCATGCAGGGGTACCAGCATAGAATGAAATGTGGTAGCATGGAAAGAACACTAATCTATGGCCGTGTCCAGTCTCCATCAGTACCTGCATAACAATTATAGTTTTTGTTCTATAGCAATTAAGTGTATAAAGACCTTTTCTCACAAAAGCCTGGGAGCACATTATCAGAGCATCACAAAGCAGAAGAACAGCAACTGTTTGTTTTGAAGTTTTCCAGGTAAATTTTGGACTTCAAGGTTTGAATTAGCTGTACGCTACCCAGTAATATCTATTAAAAGCTATTTTTAGCAACAATAACTAGTCTAGGAGGCAACTGGTTGGCACAATGGATAGTGTTTGGCCTGGAGGTAGGAAGAGCCGAGTTTAAATCTGTCCTCACTTACTAGCTGTGTGACCCTCAGCAAGCCACTTAACCTCTGCCTCAGTTTCCTCAGCTGTAAAAATGGGGATAATAGCAGCACCTACCTCTAAGGGTTGTTGTGAGAATTAAATGAGATATTTGTAAAGCTCTTAGCACAGTGCCTGGAATATAGTAGGTGTTATATAAATGCTTATCAACCCTTCCATTCCCTTCTAGAAATCTGATGTGACTTCTGCCTGTAAAACTAAGGTTTTAGTCTGTTCCTGTGATCTTCCAACTTTTTTTGTCCAGACTTGTGATTTCAGCCATAGGAAGCTCTTAATAAACTCCCTCCACCAATGGATATCTCCATTTAGGGAGTTGCAGACAATAGGTAACTTAGCCCTTTTCTGGCAGATTCTGGATTTGAACTCATGTCGACCTGTCACCAGCCTAGTTCTATATCCATCATGAATAACAACACTTTGCCTGTTGCAATTCCTCACCTTCAGGAAATCGTCCAGACTTTGTGATGTGGCTTACAGAGTTCTGAGGCTACATTAATCAAGAATTCTATCAAAGGGCATTATGGGTAATGACAATCCAAGAGCTCTCAGTACTCCCACCGGGGTATTTTAAAGTGGAGGACTAAAGTTTAACAACAGTACTGATCAGTACTCAAAAAAAAAAAAGCCAACAAAAGACTCAGGTGCCTCAACCAAAATGCTTGATAAACAAGGATGTTCAGAACGATGGATGCTTCCCCCAGGGCTCTCGAAGTTACCTGGCCACGTGTCCTCCTGTACTGCCCATTTTCAGTTAGCAGGCCTAGTACAGTTCTTTGAGGGGGGTCCTGGACAGGGTGGGCTCTGGCAACCACCTGACAGATTTCCTGACTTCGGGCTGTGGGGGCCAGAGGAATCCTGCCCCTGGAGATGCTGCGACGCATTGCTTCAGTCTCCCCAGGCCACTGTGAGCAGGGAGAGACAGTTAAGCCAGATAATCCACCCTCTCCATTTGCCTCCCCACCGCCCAATACAAAGGTGTCCTTAGCGAGCCACAGAAAGGCTTTCCTTCCTCCAGTAAAGCAACTACTGAAATAAGGAGAGACAGCATTAAGGGTACAGAAAATGTTTTTGAATAAAGCACCCTAGAATGTGTCTCTTGCAGTCCTCGATGAAAACTGGGAGAAGTTTTGAGATATGCACAAAGCACATCTTCCTCCAAGAAAGAGCCTCCAGCCTAGAAATCGTTTCACAACTCAAGGGTACTAAATGTTAATTTTATTTGAACGTTCGTCTAAAGCTAGAACTTGAGAGTACTTTCCTACCGCACGTCCCCAGCCCCGAGAGCCCTCTTCCACACTCCCGAAACTCAAGGCAAACAATACATTACAAAGTGAAGGTCACGTCCTTTCCTTGGACACCGGAGAGGCGCTGCTCTTCGGCCCTCCGCCCACCGACCAGACAGGCGATGCCCAAACCAGCTTGGAACCCGCAGCGCTCCCTGGTCCCGCCTGTATATATAGACCTTCCAATTAACGAGTGCGCTCCAGGATTGGGGCCAGAGGGGCTGCGGGTGGAGTTGGGGGAGTGGGGTGGGGGAGGGGAGGGAAGGGGCGGGGAGAGTTAATAGATTCCAGCCGGGGCGCTCAGCTCCAGCTCCTTGCAGAAGCTGCCGGGAGGGCTGAGCACTAATTACTTTCAAGCCACCCGCGTCTGTTGAATCGGGCCAATCGAAGGCGCACCGGCCCTCGAGGTAGCGGCTTCCATGCCAACCGAAGCGGGCGTGCTGGGAGCCAGAGGAGCATCGCCATGGAGACCCCAGCGGACACGCTCCCAGCTGACCCAGGGCTATCCTCGGGCGTTCTGGCTCGGGAAGCCGCGCTAACGGGCAGCGAGCGGCGGGCGGCGGCGGCCCGTCCCCCGCGCTGTCCAGCCCGGTGCCTCCCCGGGGATGGGCGCCCCCCCCCCAGGACCGCCAAGCCGCAGGCTTGGCCCGCCGCCCAGCCTCCTCCCCGTCCGGGGTGGTTGCGCGGCGATGGAAGAGCGCTCCCCCTTAGACCGCGGCCCTAAGTCTTTCTGGAGCTTTGGAAGGGGCAGCCTCTGTGATGAGCCCGTTCCCAGCAACAGCTGCGAATTCCCTCCTCTAACGTATTTCCCCCGGCCTGCTCCCGAGGCCCGAGAAGCGGAGAACTTTGGCTTAGAAGAGCGACGCGAGGCCCCCGAGGCCGTGGGGCCGGGGCCAGCCTCGACTGGGAAGGCCCGGGGCCCACCCTAGCAGCCCGGTTTAGCCAGTTAAGCTCAAGCACCTCCCCAGCCCCCCCAGTCTGTTCTCCCCACCCGCCCTCCGGTACCCACACACCTATCCATCCTCCTAAGGAGCAGTTCAGGAAAGCGGCAGTTTAGCCAGGGGCCTCTCCGTCCACTTCAGTCTCATGCATTCAAAGCGATATCGGGTGTTGGACAAGGCGTCTGGCGCCTAAACCCGCCGGCGCCATGCCGGTGCTGGTCCACGGGGGATGCGAAGGCCTAAAGTTTAGAGGATGCACGAGGCCTTCCTTCCGACGCATCCTGGCCCTCACAGCGCAAAGGGGCACTTGGAACTCAGCGACAGCGTCCCCAGGAACAGGAAGGAACGAAGGGGGCAGGAACGAGGCCTGGAATTCTCCATGACCCCCGGACGGGGGGTGGGGGTGTGGGGGGGGCGGAGGAGAGTAGAGGACCAGACAGTGGTCCACATCTGGAATGCTCCAAGTGCACGAGTACCGCTAGCCCAGATGAAGTGCTGCTCTTGGACTGGTGAGCCTTCAAGGTGAGAAGCAGCAGTAATAATAATAATAATAATTAGTAACAAGAGTAGTAAGTAATAATAATAGCCAGCATTTATATACCATTCTATATGTATTGTCTCATTTGATCTTCACAACTCTGGGAGACGGGTGCTATTATTGTAGCTATTTTATCCCTATTTTACAGATAAGGAAACTGAAGCTGAGAGATGTTACCGAGACTTGCCCAGGATTGCACAGCTAGGAAATGTCTGTGGCAAGATTCAGGACACTAGGATTAGCTGTCTCTCCACTAGGCCACCTAGCTATTCATTTCCTCATTAATTTTTGAGAAATAAACTTCCAAAATCTTGAAGACTTTTAGTTCTTGCTAGTATTTCCAAAAACAGAACTACCTGTCCAGATTGATTGGAAGGATACCTGTCTTTCTAAGGAGTGTGCTTTCTTTCTTTTTTATTTTTTTATTCAGCTTAATTATTAAATGACTCATTTCATCTTAACCTAGCTGTGCAGAGTAGGTTCACTTCAGCAAGAAGTTTGTAGGGGCAGTTTGGTGGTGCAGTGGATAGAGCACTGGCCCTGAAGTCAGGAGGACCTGAGTTCAAATCTGACCTTGGACCAAACACTTGACACTTAACTAGCTGTGTGACACTGGGCAAGTCACTTAACCCCAATTGCCAAAAAAAAAAAAAAAGTTTACCCAACGAGCCTTGTTTTCAGTTGAGTTTTTTTTTTTTAATATTTCTTTGGGAATCTCTATCTTATTCTCTGATGGGCTTCTGATGTTTTTATAAGAAACAATGCAGTACTAAAGTCTTATGCAAAAGATAATGGGCTCTAAAACATTTTTACACGAGTCACTACTGTTTGAAAGAGGAAGAATTAGAAGGGATCTATCCTGAAGTGTATACTGAGTATTGTGGTTCACAGACGAATATCTTGAAAGGAAAGTGAAATCAGGCTATACTTTTCCCCTCCTGAATTCTAAATGATAAACTAACATTAGAAAAATAAAAATTTATTCTGACATTAAAAAGAAAACCACCTTTTTGAATCCTGGCTTGAGATCAGTATCAAGCTTCAGTGGAAATAGCAATCATTAACTGAAGCAATTGGAAAGAGCATTGGTTACTGTTTAGTTGTAGCAACAGATACTAAGTGGGACTTTAATGATTTGCCATTGCAAGGTTTCTGTGTTAAGGAGTCTCCCTCTTTTACTCTGCAGAGAGCTGTTCTAGGGCTTCTTGGGCATCAACCACCCCATGAAATTGTTGTGATTTCTAGGGACGCGGAGTGCCCCCAGCAGGACTTCTGGGCAAGCAGCTTTCCTTGTGAACTCCCCCAGAGACTGACAACTATTCCTTAAAGAGATTAGGAAGGTTTTCCAGAATAGGAAATTTGCCTCAGCAGATTTTAAACACACCCATCTATTTCCTTACAAATGGTTCAGAGCCTTTGATCTGCCCAGGCAAATGTAGTGTATCACTATATCACTTTTTTTTTTTAGTATCAAAATAAAAGAGGAAGACTATTACAGAGTTCTGTAGCTCTGACATAAACCTCATGGTTTAAGCTCTTCCTTTAAGAGCCCAAGTGAGAACAAGATATAACCTACAACAAACATTCCTATACAAGCAGAAATTTGGACTGTGTGTTCACCCAACAAGAATCATTAATTCATTCAACATTTATTAAAGATGGACTCCATGCTGGAAGGAGTTCAGGGAAATAATCTAGTCCAATGTTTCCTTTTTGTATGCTTGTAAAAATATCTGTAAATTTGTCATAATACCCATAATGGAAATTCGTCCACTATCACCACCATCCCTCTCCACATTTACCCCCAGCCAGTACTAATCCACTATTATCTGTCCATCCATAGCCCCAAATCCCAATTTTATCATACATGATACTCACAACGGCCACTTTCCCTACTCACATCTCCATCATCCTGGTTAAAAATTGGCTAAGGAAAGTGAGAACACAGGGCAAAAATCAACCAATTGACAAGCATTTATGAAACACCCACTTTGTACGAGGCATTGGGGCAAGCAAAGGGTCCCTGCTCTCAAAGAGCTTAAGTTCTGTTAGAGGAGACGCATGTACACAAATAAGCAGATACAAATTAAAAACAACCTAAATTTATTTGGGAGGAGGACACTAGAGGCTGGGAGTGTGAAGGCCTCCTGAAGGTGTCACTTGAGCAATTTTTAAAGAAACAAGGGATTCTGTACACCAGAGTATTTTTGGATTATGCCAATATCCTGGAAAAGTAGTTGGAATGAGTGGTTAATCTAACTCCTGCCCACACTCAAACCAGACCATATCTAAACCATAGCCAACAAATCAGAGTATCATATTTCTAAAGATTTTTGTATGCCTTCATTTTTTCTTTAGTAATTCAAGCTAATTTAATAAACCAATGACCAAACCAAATGTAAAGATCAGCACAGCATTGAAAGTATTGCTGCAGGTTCTTTTTAGGTGTTCCAATAAGCAATATGGAATACTGTTTGTTCTTATTTATAAAGCACATCTAATTATTGGACTATTGAAATGACATTTAGTATTTAGATTGTTTCCTTATTGTGGTTTCCCACAATTTTTATAGTTCTTGTAGTTGGTTACATCTTAAATTAGAAAATTATTACATTGAAAGAATAGGATGAACTAGACACATATGAGCACAATTCAGCTCATAGAATCGATGCCAAAGTTCATTGTAGTCAGCCTATGATCACCTCTATTTCAGTTTGCCCTTCACAATGTCTTGTGAATTTAGATATTCATAAGAATAAATAAAAATATTGAACCAGCACATTTAAGGAATGGTCTGTTTCATTTTTCCCAGTGCTGACTATTGCATTACACATAGTAATGAGAGCTAGAAAGGATCTCAGCGGCCAGGTAGTCCAACCCCCTCCTTGCACAGATAAGGTAGCTGGGGCCCAGAGAGGTTAAGTGATTTATCCAAGATTACACAGGCAGTAAATAGCAGAGCTGGGAATTTGAATGTAGGTCTGACTTCAAATACAATACTCTCTCAACACATTGTCTGTCTTGTATATCTATTGATTTTAAAATTATGCTGTAAAAGGTAGCTAGGTGGCACAGTGGAAAGAGCACTGGCCCTGGAGTCAGGAGGATGTGAGTTCAAATCCAGCCTCAGACACTTACTAGTTGTATGACCCTGAAAAAGATGCTTAAATGTGCAATGTGTTTATTAACTGCCTACCTTTCATATTCCTGATCCAGTTTCTCCCAGAATACTCTCCTACCTATTGGCTAATGCTTGATGCTCTAAGTGGATAAAGTACTCAACTTAGAGTGAGGAAGATCTGAGCTTGAATCCAGTCTCAGACATTTACTAGCTCTTTGATTCTGGGCAAGTCATTTGACTGCTCTCAGCTTTAGTTTCCCGCTCTGTAAAATGGGGATAATTATAGCACCTACCTCACAGGGTTGTTGTGAGGATCAAGTAAAATAAAATATGTAAAGCTCTTTGCAAACCTCAAAATGCTACATAAATTCTGGCTGCTATTATTATTAATGCCTAAAATCAAAATGATAATATTTTTATAGGTAAAAAGTAAATTTTTAATAGCTAGCATGTATGATAAATATCTTAGATTTAACTACCTTAACTTTGGCAGCCCTGGCTGTTTAGTTCTCCTTTCTTTTTTTTAATTTTGTTTTTAATTAATGGAATAAAACAAACATTTCCATAACATAGTACAATAAAAAAGATGCTTGTGCATGAAACTGCAACTCTACTATGTACAACTTGCTATTCTTTCAAATATACAACAAAATTATCATGGAAATTTCTTTTGTTTTCTTCCCTCCCCTCCTCCCCTCCTCCCCCTGCCCTAGAAATGGCCTTTTCTTCTTTCCCTCTTTCCTGATCCTTTTTTTTTTAACTTTTGCTTTGGGAGTCTGTTTACTCATGAGACTAAAATAGAAAATTTTAACAGAAATTTAAGAGAACAACAAAAATGTATATATTGGTCCACAATTTGACATTCATGAGACATACCAGCTAGATTACATTGTAGTCAATTCATCGATTAATGGCATTACTCTTATAATTATTAAAATCTGCTTTAGGTATATATAATGAAAATGTTTTCCTTTGCATTTTTTGTTGTAGGTACAGTACTCTGGAGAAATTGTACTAATTCCCTAAGTAGATATGTGTATGTACATATATACACAAGTATCTATAGCTCTACATATGTTTTATATACAGCTGTAGATATACATACATATATATGCATGTTTGCAAAGTGGTACATGTGTACAGATCATCACACACTCACATATCTGTGAAACATGCAACACTGCAAATTTCTGGTCAGATCCCTCCTCATTTGTCATGGGCAGCACTGGTTCCCCTCAATTGACCTTGATTATGTAAAGCTTCTAGCTCTTTCTGGGTCTCACCTTCCATTCTTCCAATAGTCGGGTCCATCCACTTATCAATCCAACAAAAGAACTGGTGGTGAAAGTTGGTAAATATTATTTTTTCTTATTTTTGAATTAAGTTTTCTACTTTACTCTGCAGATCCCACTACTTGAATTTGATGATTACTAACTTGTAAACACACATTTGAGGACAGTCTTGGTTATTTGCCTGGCCTTTCTTCCAGCTGGGTCCCAAAGGTCCTCTCTTGGTCTTGACTGATTGGAATAATGCTGGGTCTTCATTC